TCAGTTGATCAGAACAAAAGTGGCAGTTGTTACTTACTTTTTCAGATGACATTCTCCAGTGAAATCTCTTATTTGGGTCATACTTTCAAGATGTAGAATCTGTGAATACAAAGTGCAGTATCCACACCGGTGCGGTGACTGACAGCCACACATTAGATTAATTCGCGCTGGAGCCGTGCCGGTGCACAACCCACGCAAGTAAGATAATTCCGCAAACAGCTGCAAAAACAGCTGCAATTGCAGGTTTTCAAACAGAGATGGCGACAAAGAGGCAAAACTTAATGGACTGCAGCTTTAATTAATACTTTTATGCAGCAAGGGTGCATTAACTTGATCAAAACTGACAGTAAATCCATTTATAATGTTACAGAATATGTTCAACTGAACTTTCTGTTCATGAACGTATCCTGAAAAAATGCACGATTTTCATAAAAAATTAAGGAAATTAATTGAGAATTACCTGTTTTCAGCATCATGAAATGTTTCTTGAGCACCAAAATCAGCATATTAAAATGATTTCTCAAGGATCATGCAGACTGGAGTAATAGCTGCTGAAAATTCAGCTTTTCCATTACAGGAATAAATTATATTTTAAATTATATAAAAATAGAAAAGTTACTTTAAATTGTGATTTAATATTTCAGAATTTTACTGTATTAATTAAATATAGCCTTGGTGAGCAACACCAAACTTTTAAACAGTAGTGTAGACCAATATCTTTGCTCTCTCTCTCTATCTCTCTGTTATTCAGAAGTGAAATAAAAGGAGAGTCACACACTTTGCAGGGAAATGTTCAACCTTCGTTAAGTAACGTACAGTCACAGCAACACACATCAAGTATTGAACAGTCTGCACCCAAGATTTCACAAGGTACATGCACAAGAAATTATGCAGAATATGTTATACCTTTCTGCTGTTATACCTTTTTACTTCACATCTTTAATTGGAAATTTGCATTACATCCTTTCAAGCATCTCTAATTTTCTCCCTGCAGATATCTCCATTACCAAGAAGGATATGGCCACCTCTCCTGTGGTTCCACAAAGCTTCCAGACATCTGCTCTTCCCCAAATTTCTCCTTTTGGACTTCCTAGCACTCCAAAGGCTTCCAGGTGAGTTAAGGTGTCCCTCAGGGTTCTGTCTTTGGTCCACTCGTGTTTTCCCCTTGCTATGGATGGGCTTCTTCATACACGCATCTAATTCATCCTGGCTAGTTCCCGCCCAGCCGTCTAACACAACCAATGTGTTTTTACACACCCTTTCTATATTTTTAGTTGAGCAAAACATTTAATTTTGCCACTTGACAGTTCGGTCACTCAACTACCACTTTCTGTAGAGAGGCTGCTGTTGCAATTTAAAGATGGGTGGGGTATGGTGCTTGAGAGAAACCACTCTCAGGAAACTCAGTGAAAAGACCCATACCAGTAAATACAATTTAACAAGTTCAATTCAGGAAGGAGTGAAAAGAGGGAAATGACAGCAATTTTGTCTCAACAGCACAGCGGGGGCCAAGCCTGTGTATTAATTGTGTTCTTGGGGTCCCTGTCTCTGTGATAGAGCTTCTTAATGCATGCATGTGAAAAAGGAGAAGGGGTGGGAGCAGCGATGTATGGGGGAATCAGAATAAAACAGGGAAAAAGGGAGAAGAAGCGAAGAAAGAGGGAAAAAAAGAGAAAGCTGGTCTGGGCCGAACGCAGTGCGAAGCCTATTTGATGAGTTAAATGAAGATTTTTGCCGGCCAGCGCTGAGGCTGACAGGAGCCAAGCTGAGTCCCATTAGCTGGCGTAGCAGGGCCCAGCAGCAGGTGTAATTGAACCGAGTCTTCCAGCCTGGGCCGAGAACGCGGCGCCTCCCTCAGCTTAATGAGAAAGAGTGAGGCAGAGAATGAATCACTGACCGCTAGCGCGAGACACACTCTGGGATAGAGAAGGAAATTCATTACCGTTTTCTTTTAACGTAGAAAGGTAATTAATGTGACAGCATGTCTTTTTTTTCTCCCTCCCCAACCCCCACAGCGAGAGCATGAGCATGTCTCGTTTAGCATGCCATCTCTGAAAAATGCAGATTATTTGTAAGTCGTTTGTAAGGCGTATTTCTTCTCTTTTTTTCTAGGAGAAAATGTACTGACTTCAGAAGTAATTGCCTTTTTTCTCCCTGTTATATGTTGTGGTGAATATTTTGCATTAATATGTTCTTTTCTGTCTCAGACGTTTCATTACCGAGCCAGAACTTTTACAGGTGCTGGGAAAATTAGGCTGCTTTGTGTGCAGCTATGATATTTGTGGGAGGCATACCAAGAGAATGTCAGAACTGACAGGGAATTGAATACTCGAGTGTGCATAATATGTATCGGGGGAAGTTGAGAAGGGCCAAATGTGAACTAAAGACCAGGGCAGAGATGTTTCTCTTAATGAACAGTCAAACTGTTGAATTTCAAGTAGCCATTCCAGATTCACCTTTATTTGTGACATCAAGCAGCTTTAACGTCAAAGATACGTGATAAAATAGCCAATGGAATAGTTTTTTTACTTACACATTTCTCTTAGGACTGTGAATTGATTCGATTAGAAGATTTTAATTGAATGAATTAATGATTTGCCGTGGTTAAGAAATCCGACATCAATATTTAGAGTCTCTAAACTAGCTTAAATTGCTCCGATGGTAGGAAAATAATAAATATAAAAGTTAATTAAGATAATTGATGAAAATGGAACTTTACATTGACAGCACAAATATCTGTACATATGACATGCAATTCATATTTTGATTTAACAGGACATATTTGGCTTGGTTGGTAAAGCATCATGGAAAACCTTCCTTTGCCCCACTAATACCAAACATGAACTCTGAGATTACCACGTTTATGCCAACCAGCACTGTGGAAAGTCTATGTATGGAAGATAAATATTTTATTGTTGCCCACCGTCTGGAAGGTACCTTTGCATTATTCAAAACCAAACCTGATTTGAGGAAATCAATGAAGTGTGTCATTTTATAGTTTATTTATTTATTTATTTAAGAAGCCAGAGGTTGGATGCCAGCGGTCTTCTGAACAACCTCAGGTCTGGTCCAGGGTCTAATGGGTCTGATACTGTATGGACACACTCTTGAAGAACAACCTATAGCTGTCAGCCCACAATGAATCAATAGACAAGCACTTTATTACTACAAGTTTGCTTAAAGGAAAAAAAATGCCCTGGGGAAAAAAAGCTCAGGTTATTGAAAATGATTATGGATATCTCCTGTCTGCTATAGATCATAACATTTCACTCAATCTGAAACAGGTAGTTTTCTTTGATTGGCAGTATCCTTGGGATGTGTGAACTCAAATGCTGATTCTTGCATGGTAACACACTTAAATTGGTCTTGTCTTTCAAATTCTGGCTTTTTTAAGCTCTTGTTAAAGCAAGTGTCACTATTTCAATCTTTAATAAATAGTTGGTGGTAAGGATTTGGAACTTTAAACTTCGACATGTTTGTCATCCCGCATCATTTGTGGAGTTGAATGATTGAGGAGAGGTGAACTTTAAGGTTTTCGAACTTTAAGGTTTTCATATGGTGGGTGATAAAACTTGCGTAAAATCTTGTACACGTACATTAATAAAGAGTTCAGAAAGACTGTGGTGGGCTCTTTTGACACCGTTCAGCATCCTCCGTAAACACCATAGAAACCAGACAGCAATGCTTTAGCAACTATGTAACAATATGCCAAAAACAACAATATTTATTTTTAATAATATATTTAAAAGATTTATGTTTATTTAATATTTATATATAATTATATAAAAAGCCCCATCGTCGTGATGGTGTGTTTTGCATGGCAAGCTCCTCACATTTCCTTTAGAAATATAAAAATCTTGTGTGAGTTGATCTCGCTCAGGAGAGTGGACTGTAAGTGTCACAGAACAAGAAGGAGATGAATTATGCAGTCAGACTGATAAAACTCCACAACCTCCGTAAGAGTCAGAACAATACACTTATCAAACCACGTCCTTCTTTCAAATAACTTCCACCTTTTTAAATTAACCTGTGCAGACTTGGGCCATCTTTTGTGAACTTCTCTTCACTTTAGAAGAGGAAATTGTTTTTAAATTGTGTATCTTATTAAAATTTTCAGGGCTGGTTTGATAGAGCCGAAGTGAGAAATGTCAGTGCTCCTGTTCATGGCCTGTGCCTCTCCTCAGCTTACTATTGATTTGGAAGAAAATTGACATGCAGTTTTGTAGGTATTTGCCGTTTTAGGATTTTTTATATTACTGTTTGGGCTACAAATTTGTTTGGGCTCTCAGGCGTGACAGACATTTTTAATGAGAACAGTAAAATAACTGGAGTCTGGAAACTGATAAACTTTCTTTTGTTTGGAATTATTGAAGTAGAACCTGATTCTTTCTCTGTCTTTCACCCTCTCTGTATTTTACTCCTCCTCGCTCTCATTGATGCGAGTAGGAGTTTTTTTATGCCCATGTTTGCATATATATATATACACATACGCACACAGTATATATTCATTTTAAAAATAATAATAATATTTTATTAGTTATTTATATATTTTCTCTTTTCAATAATTCAGGAATTCACTATTTAATTGTATTTTTCTCTTCAGTAATCTGGTTACTTAAATACTGCCATCGTTCCGCTCACATCTGCTTTTCTATTTCAGGCATCTTGAACTCTGTTCCTAACCCCTACTGATCCGTTGAGTGAACAGATAGCGTTTGGGATTAGCAAACCTCCTCTTAAGTGATATTAATGTCTCATGGTCATTCACCAGTGGACCTTGTGAAAAGCAATGAAAGCATTTGGGTAAATATGACTGCCAAACACATTAGCATTCTCTCCGGCAATTTCCTCCTACCAACGCCCTAACATCCCCCTCACCCGCCCAAACTACACCTACCCCTTCCCTTGTTATAGATTGTGACCGGCGGTAAGAAATGCATTATTCATATCGGCAATGTCGTCCGTTGATGGATGGTTGTTTGAGAGGCCTGTCCGTTAAATAAATCAACAAATAAAAATGCTAATTCTCACATTTCAAGAGGGAACCTTGCCAAAGTCCCTCCCCATCAGCCATCCACCCTCAGTGTAAGCTCTCCTTCTCTTTCCCTCTGATGCAAATGTGCAAAAGAATTGTCGGATGGCAATCGATTGTCATTCGCCAAAATGACAAAATGAGATTCCCGGATTGGACATTACTATCATTGTTATAGGACTGGATGTAAATGAAACCTAGATTCAAGTTTCAGGCTTAAAAGCAAAAGAACATTAAGCTGCTTGATCTATTATGATGTCATGAAATATATGTAATTTGTTTTTTATCGTGAGTAAATATATGAAATGGCATACTGACATTCAGCGAGCAAGTCTCTTTCTCAAATAGTCTTGTAACTGGCTCTGTAATCGCTAGCAAATGAAACATACCTGACAGATAAAATGCAAATTTTGTTTGTGTCTGTTAGTTAAGAACATAATTCTTGTAACATAATATTTATTGCAAAGTAATTTCATTAAGAAAACTCCATTTATACAAAATAACAGCAACATCAAAAGTGAGTACTCAGAAACATTCAGTGTAAAATTGCAGGAGTGAAATGAGACGTTCCTGATTATGTATGTATTATGTATTACTGGAATATGGGTTGACAAGTTAACGGTGCAAAAACAACCTAAGAGTGGAAGTCTGCATTAACTGTTTTATGTAATCGCTGAAATGCAGTTGGGCTCACGAATTGGAAAGATGCAATGTACTTACTTCTCACTAGGGCTGTATCATAAAATATCATGATGAAGAGAAGGAAAATTAGAAGTGCTTCCTTGGCAACTAACTGAAATAAGTTGAAGTACTAAATTTCTTGATATTTGTCAAAATTGCACTTGATATGGAGTTGCTTTCTTTGTAGGTTGTTCCAGATCTGTCCCCTGTGAAGAACCCTTCATATAGGCCGTAGACAGCATGGCAGCTGTCTAGGGTTTGGACCAGAGCTCTTGTGTTTGTCTGATGGCAGTGTGCAGAACAGCCAGTATAGTACAGCATATGTAGGTTTGTTAATGGTGAATGGTTGCGGCCTCCAGAGTTCAGGGTCAGAACCGTTATAGCGGTTAACAAACTGTCCTGGGTCCAGGTGGTCTGTCTAAGGACCAGCTTCTCAGAGGTCTTCTCAGTGTGTGAAGTGAGATCAACTGGTCTGCAGTCCTCAGGGAACCGGGGGTTTCCGATCTTTGGCAGCGGAACAATGCAGGATGTCTTCCAGAGCTAGGGCACCTTCATCAGTAACAGTGTGAGGGAGAACAGGTGCTCAGGAACCCCACCGCGCTGGCTGTGTGAACATGTGTTCAACACTCTGGGGATCAATCCGTCTGCCTCAAAACTCATCTTTACCTGTGCAGAGATTCTCCAGTTCGCTCAGTCCTCACCTGGTCAACTGAAATAGACAGTTGAAGGATGGGAGGTGTAGGCATAATTTTCGATTTTAAGAGATCGTTCACATAAAAGTGAAGAGCCTGTCATTATGTGTTTCAAATCTGTAGGAAGAATGTTTTGGCTGCATTATTTCTCGCAATGAAAATGGTTTGGGTTGGCAAGCCTCAAAAATGACTAAATTTTCCACATTTATTGTTGTTCGACAAATTTTCGTTGGCAAATTCCAGTTATTTCAATAGTAATTTTGCGTGAGGGTGAAAGTTTTCTCTACACAGATTTCACTGTGGGTTCAGCTTGGTTACGTGGATTTGCAGCGTTGATCAAACAAAAAAGCTTTTGGTATGTGACTTGTGTCCTTATCGTTTCATCACTAATTTGAAAATTGCAGGCAAAATTTAACAGAATATAACTGCACCTTAAAAGTAGTCCATAAATATTTGCTATATACACTATATTCTTCTGTAGTCATATGATAACTTTTGTGAAAAACAAACTCAAATTGAAATATTTGTTGAAAATTGTCACTTTTCATGCACGTTAGTGTTGTTGTTTTGAGTCTTAGTCCTGTTTTAAATGTCCTTTTTAGTTTTTTAGTCAACCTATCCTGATTTTGTTTTAGTGAATTTCAGAAAATGTTTGTCTAGAATACTTGTATTTTATTCTTGCTGCATAATGCTTAAAGTGTTAATCCTAATTATTTTGCTCAAATGTTTAATCACAATTACTGTTCATGATTATTGTCATGAATTATTGCACTTTTATCTATAAGCACAAATGAAGAGAAAGTCCGCTCATACGATTAGTTTATTTTGCCTTATCTAGTTTCAGCTCATCTTTTTTCATCAACGATATTGCTTTATGTTGATATAGTCACAGTTAGGCAAAATCTAGTGTGCTGCCAATACCCAAACATCATTTTAAAGCACCATAGAGACTCTTCTCAACATAAGGTTAGCCAAAAAGGTAGGCAGCATTAATATCTTAATATTACTTAACAAAACTCAAGATATTTTCTGGTTAAGGCAGTAACAAAAAGCATTGCGCCAAGCTTAGTGAAAAAAATAAATCCAAAATGGAGAAGATGAGATTTATATGCATAGATTTCATTCAATACTGACATATAAATAGGTCAATCTTAAAATAACCATTTTATCCTTCACGTTTAGATAAGCAACATGCTACCGTTATACTCTACTGGAATCAATTGTGAATCGAGTCTTACAGTACGTGAGGAGTTGTTGTCTATATTAATTGTTCCAAATAATTCACTTTTGAGGTTCCATCTTAGAAAGGATGTTTGTCTAGAAGGCAGAGCTTTAGAACAGAGCTAATGTGTTTCCTGAGAAGGATGGAAGTTTGAAGTTCAGACAACCTTTAATTTCTATTTACCTTTCTGTGGAAATATTTTCAGGTATAGCCAATACTTTCATGATTTCAGACCCAAAAAGTGTCAGACACCAAGGAAATAGTGGATGGCATGTATCTCAGCGTCCTGGATAATCACCGCTATCATGGCTGTGAAACAAATACTGCTTTCATATGTCAGAGGCACTCAGTGGATGACACCGTTTTCTGCCTCTCATAGGAGCCGAGATCCCTCAGACACACACACACACACACACACATACATCTGTATGAATACCCACTCATCCTCTCTGCTGCATGGATGCAAATCAATGCTGTTTAGAATGAGCAGTGAATTATGTTAGCAGCATCAGTGGAGCGTGCTTCAAGAATTCATGTTTTATATCTGAAATGTGCGCGTCTGTACTCGATGAATAATTTATTAAGCACCTCGACTGAGGGGTTGAATCTTTATTAGCTTAATCTTTGTTTATTTATTCTTTTATTTATTTATCTCCTCACTTGGCTCTCAGTTTTCCTTCCAAACTAGGAAAAAACGAGCTGACTTGTTCTCCATATGCACCCTAAGGCCACGTGTTTCAAAGCCTGTGAACTCTGTCGTCTAGTCAGATGCAACAATGTTGTTTTTATGTAGGGGAATCTGAGGATGTACAGCATTCCGAGTGCTATGTAAATTTTCATGCTTTTATTTATATCACATTTGTCCACTTCCGTTTTAGTTTATAAAACAATTCTATGACATTTTCGCTGAGTAATGTTTTTTTTTTTTTTCATTGTTAGGTTGGACGACTCTTTGATTGAGCTGTTGGACATTATAATTCACTTTTGAGGTTCCATCTTAGAAAGGATGTTTGTCTAGAAGGCAGAGCTTTAGAACAGAGCTAATGTGTTTCCTGAGAAGGATGGAAGTTTGAAGTTCAGACAACCTTTAATTTCTATTTACCTTTGTGGAAATATTTTCAGGTATAGCCAATACTTTCATGATTTCAGACCCAAAAAGTGTCAGACACCAAGGAAATAGTGGATGGCATGTATCTCAGCGTCCTGGATAATCACCGCTATCATGGCTGTGAAACAAATACTGCTTTCATATGTCAGAGGCACTCAGTGGATGACACCGTTTTCTGCCTCTCATAGGAGCTGAGATCCCTCAGACACACACACACACATTTCTGTACGAATACCCACTCATCCCCTCTGCTGCATGGATGCAAATCAATGCTGTTTAGAATGAGCAGTGAATTATGTTAGCAGCATCAGTGGAGCGTGCTTCAAGAATTCATGTTTTATATCTGAAATGTGCGCGTCTGTACTCGATGAATAATTTATTAAGCACCTCGACTGAGGGGTTGAATCTGTATTAGCTTAATCTTTGTTTATTTATTCTTTTATTTATTTATCTCCTCACTTGGCTCTGTTTTCCTTCCAAACTAGGAAAAAACGAGCTGACTTGTTCTTCATATGCACCCTAAGGCCACATGTTTCAAAGCCTGTGAACTCTGTCGTCTAGTCAGATGCAACAATGTTGTTTTTATGTAGGGGAATCTGAGGATGTACAGCATTCCGAGTGCTATGTAAATTTTCATGCTTTTATTTATATCACATTTGTCCACTTCCGTTTTAGTTTATAAAACAATTCTATGACATTTTCGCTGAGTAATGTTTTTTTTTTTTTTCATTGTTAGGTTGGACGACTCTTTGATTGAGCTGTTGGACATTATCAGCCCGTTATCCAACCCAGAAAGGTACCGAATCAACCCCTCATCCCGGAGGAGTTTCGTCACCCCTCAGTCCTTTCAGAAGACTCTTCTCTCTCCTTGTGGCCCCAATCGGTCCTCTCTGCAAGACCTGGAGGAGAGTGAGATCTTAGAAGACATCTTTTTTATCTGTTGAAGTGTTATAATGGCGACTCAAGATTGATCGTAGGAATAACTTAATTTGAATGATCATTAATTATTCATGTGCTCTTAATTCTGCCTTTTAAATCTCTTTAGTGTCTTGAAATAATTATGGTCTTAATTTGTAACTTTTTTTGTGCTATTGACGTATTCAAGGTTTATTTTTGCCTTAATAAAATGTGTTTATTAATAAATGGTGTTGTTTATTCAGTCACAGATGGTTGGGCAGCAGCACCATTAAAGTCCATAGGCTTTCCAAGGAACTAACTTGGCAACATATATGTTTAAAGAGCTTCTGAAGAACAGTTGCTGTGATCTGTAAGGCATAATCCCACTGTCAGCTGATGAAATGAGAAATTCTCATAACAGTGACTAGTCAGTAAGATGCATTTCTAGTCAGCACTGTGTTTTCCACAATATTCATGAGTCATTGAATTTTCTGCATATATTAACAAATTTTTTTTTTTTCCACAGGGGGTGTAGCATGATTTTTAATGCGTCCCCTCACTTTCCTATTCCCCTGCTCTTCCAATATACACCGCATATATGCTTTGATACTTCATACTCTATCTGGGAGCATC